TTTCCCTTGGCCCCTTCCCCGCTTTGCTATTGGAACCCTTGCTACAGCAGGAATGTTGTGAAACATTCCTTCCCCATCTGAGCTTCTGAGCTTTCAGTTGTAAATTACATTTGTCCCGAGTGTCCTGAGGACTATCAAGAAGAAGAAAGAGAGGGCTTTTTTTAAAATTTAATTAACTTATATGTAAATAGAGCAAATGTGAGCAGGCAGTTTGGAGAACCCTGAGAAGCTAATTCAGCAGCACCGTGTTTGTAAAACCAATGACTAGTAATGCCTTAACCTGGTCAAAGGTTCGTAGCTGCTTCCCTCCCCGTGCCCAGACTTTAGGCAGAGACCAGAAAACAATTCTGGGAGCTGATACACAGTGTTGTGATTCTTAGTAATAAGCCACTACCTTTGCAAAATCTGACTCTTTACAAACAAGGCGCTCATCATTTTCTTTTTCCCATTTGGATCTCAGGTTACTCAAGACAAATATCTGAACTGATAGTATTATTACTCAAATCACAAATAAGGAACTAGCTCTCAGAAGTCGGGAGGTAGCTCAAAATGCACAGCTTAATTAAGCCAGGACGTAATTGTTGTTTCATGCTCCCAAAAGGAATGCTTGTTCTCCCTTACACTTAGCTCTAAAATTGTATCAAATATCCTGAACACTATTTTACATATGTAGTATTTCACTTTCATATATATTGTGTCAAATTCTTAATTGAAGTTAAGGTGCCAGAAATTCTCCAGTCTCTTCTTAGTATTTCCAAGACTGTGAGCCATGTGGCAGAGCACTTCTCCCAGGTTCCCTTACCCTGCTACACTCCGCCCAGGTGCCTCTTCCCAATAAAATCTTTTGCTTTGTCAGTACGTGTGTCTCCTCGGACAATCCATTTCCGAGTATTAGACAAGAGCTCACTTTCTGGCCCTGGAAGGGGCCCGTCCCCCTTCCTGTTACAGTTACATTGTGAATTGCAAAAAATTTGAAGAAATAGTCTTTCAGTATTTAAAAAACTGTTTTATTCAGCAAAGAAGCCACTCACATTACATATGACTTCATTGTTTCATTTTTGTCCTACTCATTAATGTAAATAAAAATATCAACCAACAGTCATTGGAGCTACACTTGTTTGTCAATTGCAACCATAGGTTGGCTAGATTCTAGAGTTGAACAAAGATAAATGAAAGCATACTGTGAAAATCAATGGAATATATGGGATTTGTAAGAAAGAGTATTATTTTACTGTTATTTGTAAATTGGGTAATATGCATCCTTTATATCATAAAATTTATGATAAACATATATACATATTTTGGGGAGAGAGCCAGTTGTTAAATATTTAGAGCACAACACAAAGTCTTCATAGTTTTGCTGAGAACTAGCCCTGAATGTCCACATGCTCAAAAAAGAATGGATTTTGTGTGAGTGTGTGTGAAAAACTTCAGTTTGCCATGTTTTATATTTATAAGCAGACAAGTTCCAATGTTTCTTTAAAATGATAGACATCTACTTTCTCCACTATTATGAAATTAGTGGATGAAGCAGGCAAAGTATTTCCTTTTCTTCACATTACTCTTCTAACCTAGCAAAAGCAAAAATGTCTCATTCCTGC